AATGTCTACCTAAATGCCTTGATGGTAGCACTGATGTGCACCTGAACTATTATTACATTTTATCTTTTATTCGTGCGTTTAATAAATGATCGAAAAAAAACAAAAGAAAAAAAAACAAGGAACAATGTGTTTGCCTCAATCAAGATGTGTTAAGAGGAAGAAGAATACTTTTCCAGTAGCTTATGAACTACGTGCACCCACATGCACCTACATCCCAGCTGTGTTGTGATTGTGCCGACGACGTAAGACGAACTTCCTACTTCCTTGCCGTGGACAGGAGCCGCCGAAGGAGACAGCCACGACATCGCGAGAGGATTGTATTGTAAGTTACTTTAGTTATTTATTCCCCTGTTGTTTTGTGTCCCCGATGAGTAGTTAAGCGCTACAGCTGCCACCGCTGTAGCTGAAAGGAGAAAGGGGGTGTGCATATGTAGGGCCGACGCCAGACGACGACCGACTGACTTACAGTGGACAGACAGACGGCAGACAACCGACGGGACTTTTCTTTTTATTTTATTTTTATTTCTTTGTCAGAAAAAGACAAATACTCAGCCGGCAATGAAAGTAACGAGTCTCATGACAAAGTGGCGCCCAACGAAAGCTGGTAACTCGGATAAATAGTTTAAATTCAGCCTTTACAAGTATTTAGGTGTAATAGACGTTGGTCGCCATGTATATCATGACAAAGTGGCGCCCAACGTGAAGCCCACACACTACAGGGTGTATAAAGTTTTTTCAATTTTTGATTAAAGTTGGTCGCCAGCTATAACACATGACAAAGTGGCGCCCAACGAGAAGTGACCTCATAAAAAATCTTGTACTAATTTGTGAATTAATTAAAGAAAATTTGTTTTTAAAGAAAAAAAAATTAATTAAAGAAAAGAAGGGAAATTTTTTCCTTTTGATTAAAGTTGGTCGCCATGTATATCATGACAAAGTGGCGCCCAACGAAATAGTTAACCCAAGTATAAAGTTTAAAATAATTAAAAAAATTTGTAAAAGTAATTAAAGAAAAAAAAAAGGGAAAATTTTCTTCTTTTAGTGATTAAAGTTGCCAGCTATAACATGACAAAGTAGTGCCCAACAAAACTACCCTATTAGACGTATACATGTACATATGCAATCCTGTAGTAATGATTTCTATTACAACCATCAATGATGCATACATGCGTGTATATGTGTATTTTTATATGTATACGCTGCTAAAATGTAATACTTTTGTGATAACACAATTTTGCATACCTATACATACATCTACGCGATCTACGTTTGAAGCGAAGGTAGCATAAGAAAAATAGTCACTTGTTTAGCTAGCAAGTTAGCGTCCCTTCCAGTACAAACTACAGTGATCTTGTAGGGATAATATAATATTGTGGGAAAAAAAAAGAGAGGGGGAAATTTTTAGATAAAAACTGCGCACTAATGTAAAAGTTTGTAGAAGCTTAGCAACCCTGCTATTGGAAAAAACATATGGTTATTGTTTTCAATTTTTCCGAAAATGGCAGCAAAAGATTTTTAGCTGCAAAAGGTTTAATTAATGTAAATAGAAATCTTAAAAATGTGCAACGTAATTATGGTTACAAAAACAACACAACGCATCAACCATCAAAAACTTATGGAAAATATATATGGATTATTGGCGGCGGTGCGACTGCGATCATTTGCATAAATTTATTCAAATCCGGGACTAATTCAGTGAAAGCATTTAATATGAGACACTCAAAGGTGAATACTTTTCCAGATAGAATAAACTTCTATACAAGCTCTTGTCAAAGGCTGCCGTACAAAACTGATGTTAAAGACATGTAGAATAATTGACGTCAAATTTCTCGAACAGCTTAAATGCTGGAAACCATTTAGTCATTCCCATTTTCGTCCATTTATATAAAATATTATTTCCAAGAGCCGTTCTATGAATAACTGTATTAAGCGAAGTCGTGCAAGGTATTTAATAGTGAGCCATATCTCACTGTATTAATCTTTTTTTCAAATTTATTGCAGTATGATGAAGATTCAACAATAAGCAAATTAACAGCACGTGAAAGACGTTTTATCAAGTTTGCGTCCAGTGAATATGACGGGCAATTATACATGACACCACAAGATTTTTTTTTTAGAATCAGTTGTCGAACAAGAACCCAGATGTAAATATATTAATGAACACACCAAGCAACTTTCTGCTTAATTCCAAATAAATTTTTTGTTTTATAAAATGAAGCTCGCTTGAAACGTCGCATACTAACTGAACGTGATATAAATTCAATGCGTGATGAAACTCCACCGTTGAAGAAAGGTTCAAATCAATTGTCTAGAAAATTAAGGGATCGAGGTAGCTTCATATACACATAAAGTTGAATTTAGTGTTTTGGAAAGAAATCTCGTCTTTTTCTTTTAGGCATTATTTCCTATACCGAGTATTTGTTTTTATTATCAATTTTAACAAGTAAGTGAAGCATATGTCGGAATTAACGTTCGTATGTATTAAAAACTCTGTGGAGAATGTGAAAAACACCATAAAAAGAATTAGAAATTATTTAAGTTTTCTTCCACTCCTAAACAATTAGTTATAATAACAGGTGCCTTTCCTTGATTTGCTTGACTACTCTATGCCAGCATTTCAGGTTGTCTGTCTGAAGTTACAAATGCAGTTCACAAGAAAACAGTGAACAGTGAAAGTTTGATTTCAATTTTTGATTCTAATTTTTAATTTCATCTTGTCATCTCCAATGTGAACCAATTTCAACATATATATATATATATACAGCTCCTTAGCTGCGAGGTATTTCAATGTGTACAAAAAACATCCACGTTACGTTTTACTAGTTTTTGATCCCCTTAAGATTTCTAAATTACAACTTGGAATAGAAATGTTAACGCCTTTCAAAGCTATGTGTCTGTTCTCTTTTTAATAACCGAACCTGCTAAGTTTGTCTGATGAGAAAGTTTTTTATTTCATGAATATTTACAAAGAATCTAGAACTAATACCATATACTTAGTAGTAGGGACTCGCAAGTAAAGTAAAGAGTTGGAGCTATATCGATAAGAGGCATACGATGCGCTCTGCAATTGTCTTATTTTGACAAACAACCCAGCCGAGAATTAATTAAAGTAATTTTGAAAGTAGATGATTTTTTTTGTTTGCTATAGGGTTGAGTAGATTGATGGATGGGGGGTGAATGGCCCTCTCAGAATAAATTGTTTATTTTTTCCCAACGCGAAATATATATAACGATAATAGTATAGCGCAAATGTAATGGTACAGAGTCAAGACGAATTTAACTTATGTTACAAATAAATCTATTTCCTCGCGTGATAGATTCAATTAGTTGCTTTAGTGCAAGATGGCTTCGCTACACAAAGTGGCGCCTGGCATCAGGTCAACTTTATTTCATTGAATTTTACCGAAGGAACGGGAGGATTTGCTAGATTTCCTTTTTAGTAATTGTATTGGGTAATGTTTACAAAAAATATAAAAAAAAATAATTATGATAAGAATAAATAGCAATATAAAGGGGGGTTCGCCAAACTGTTATCGCAGTTCTGTCGCT